ATTATGATGAAAGAATGATTGCTTGATAAAATGAATATTGATTTTCATAATAGATGCGAGGCTTGCCTTAAAGGAAAGATGATAAAGAAGTCCCACCAAAAGTTCAATAAGGTCTCTAGTCTTTTACTGGGATGTGTGTGGACTTATGAGTGTGCCTACCATGGGTCACATGAGGCACTTCATAACATTCATTGATGACCATTTCCCATTTTGGTCACACATATCTCATGAGAAACAAAAGTGAGGCCATAACCAAATTCCAACAATATAAAGTGGAAGTTGAAAACCAACTAGGTCGAACCATAAAAAACCTTAGATCAGATAGGGGTGGGAAATACACCTCCCAAGCCTTCCAAGATCTTTGTGTCTAATATGGGATTGTCCACCAAACCACTATGCCTTATTCACCGGAACAAAATGGGGTTGCCGAGAGAAGGAATAGGACCCTAGTTGAGATGGTACGAAATATGATGAGTACCACTAATCTTAGATTAGAGTTTTGGGGTGAGGCGATTCTAACCGCCACATATGTCCTTAATCGGACTCCCACCAAAGCAATTCAATCAACTCCTTACCAACTCTTCATGGGCTGACTTCCCTAAATAAAGCACTTCAAGGTTTGGGGATGTTCAGCCCATGTTCTTATACCATCCCAAAATAGGTTCAAACTTGATCCTAAAACCATAAAATGTGTTTTCATAGGATACCCAAGGCATGGGAAGGGTTTAAGGTTTTTATAACCTCTTGAATCGTAATGTGATTGAAAGCTTTGATACCCATTTCCTTGAAGGTTAATTTTTTGAGAGAGAATCAACCCAAAAGAGAGTAGACTTCCATGAGCTTCAGTCTAACAAAGAAATTGAAACCATCCCACTTTGGCGAAGTGAGAGAATAAAGAGACCACCTACCTTTTTCACTTACCTTTGGGAGGACTATGAGAGGATTAGTAAAGAACCCGATGATGAACCTTATTCTTACCTACATGCTATGTCTTGTCCGGATAATAAGTTATGGAAGGAAGCCATGCAAGATGAGATAAATTCAATCATAAAGAACCATGTATGGGAGTTATTACCACCTAACCATAGATCCATTAGATATAAGTGGATATTCAAAAAGAAACTTAACTCCGAAGGACGTATTGAAACATACAAGGAAGACTTGTAGTAAAAGGTTTTACTCAAAACGAAGGGGTAGATTATTTTGACACCTACTCACCTATTACCAAAATGCCTTCAATTAGGATGATCATATCTATAGGAGCCTACCTTGACCTAGAATTGTATCAAATAGATATGAAAACTGCCTTCTTAAATGGTGACCTAGAAGATGATATATACATGAACCAACTTGAGGGTTTTATTGTGAAAGGAAAGGAAAAGTTTGTGTACAAACTTAACAAATCACTTTATAGTCTCAAACAAGCTTCAAGAAAATGGTTCCTCAAGTTCCACCAAACCCTGATTAGATATGGATTCAAACCAAATGAGGATGACCATTGCGTATACCATAAGACTAATGGGACTGATATTACTTTCATGACTTTATATGTGGATGACATTCTAATAGCTAGTAGCACCCTAGACCATATAAGGGACACAAAGGCAATGCTATCAAGTAATTTTGATATGAAAATATGGGAGAGGCTTCATATGTGTTAAAGATTCATATTATAAGAGATAGAGCAGCCCGCACTATTCAATTATCTCAATCTACATATTGCAAGAAAGTTATTGAGAGATTTGGTATGAGCGAATTCAAGCCTATAGATATACCTGTGGAAAGGAGAGAAAAATTAAATGTTAATATGAAATCCAAACAATAATCTTGAGAGAAATGAGATGGAAAGGATCCCATATCGGAGTGTCGTCGGATCACTAATGTATTTAACCGTGGGAACTAGACCCAATCTAGCTTTTGCTCAAAGCTTGATTGGTCGATTCCAAAGTGATCATAGATTAGACTATTGGAAAGTTGTGAAAATAATCACGAGATATTTGAAAGGAACATTTGATTATGGATTAACCTATATCAATGTGAGTGAGCTTAAACTTTTGAGATACACAGACTCCGACTATCAAGGAGACCCAGATGACGCGAGATCCACTTCGGGTTATCTATTTCTTTATGGGGGTGGTGTCATTTCTTGGCGCACCAAGAAGCAAAACATTGTACCCCTATCTATAGTTGTTATTACTTTGTTTATTGCTCATGAATGATAAATCCTTGGATAAGTATGCATGCTTTGATTTAGTGTGAAAGATAATAAGAGAGAGAGATATATACGAATTCAAGCCTCAAAAGGCCAAGCGGGAGAATGCTAAAAATATGGCCTATCAAGGCCTAAATTTCAGTAGTCTCTCATTCAATGGGAGCAATTGAGAGATTGAAATCTTAGCGTCTTACGAAATGGAGCCCAAATTCTTTTACCCCAAGTACGCATGAGTCATCGAGAGTTCACGTGTTGAGAAAACAATTTCTCAAGGAGGTGTGAGGGTCACCTTCTAATCAAGATTTTATAGGTTAGCCTCATGTTTAGCTACAATCGGTCAGGGCTTAGAGAATCCAAATGAGAAAAATAAAACCCCAGTACCTATTGAGTATTCGCCTTGTATGGAATGGTCAAGACTTATGAGACATAAGTCTGTATCTTGACACAAGACCATTGCATGGCATGTGCATTTTCATTTCATACGGGAAGCCACTCTTTCAAATGCATTATCCGAGTTTGGAAGAGCCAGTGCACATGTGCTTTGAGAGGATCCCTGTAATTGAGTTGGATCACGTCCCACAGGGGTACACCTGTAATTCATTGAGAGCCGAATGATCAAAAGTTCTGACTTAGCGGCTTTGATATGGCCAATTATGTGTCTCTGCTTTAGATTGCGGAACATAGGCCTATTGGGTCAATCTGAGACTTGGCAGAACATCATTTGGGACTAGCTCAATAGAGTACTCCGATACCTATAGTTATTAGCCTGAGATCTCACTATACATTTTTATTTTATTTTATAATGATGAGAAAAACCTAATAATTGCTCAAAAATACTTTAAATATTTATTGTAAATTTTAGAGAATTTTTCAGAATTTTATTTGCTAAAAAAAAAAGGTTTCCATGTTGTTTGGCTCAAATTCCACTTTAGTCCTGACCTGGTAGTGTCATGTGGCGTCCAAGTGGCCATAGGGCTGTTACTTAGCACCCCACACCTCATTCTAGGATCACAGCCCAACTGGGCACTAATCCCTAAGTGGGGGACTAGATTGGCATTTGGTTGCTTGTTTTATAAGGGGTTGTGTTATAATGTCTTGTTATATATTGTTATATAATGTTATAAATTAAAGCCCACTTTTTATCACATGTCTTAATTAACTCACACATAGGTCATGTACGGCATGCGTGAAGTTTAATTAATTTATTTATTTGATATTAAAGAGAAAAATGTATTTTCAAATTTGAGTTGAAAAATATCTTCACACACATGTGTGAATGGGACATCATCTTTAAATTTATTGGATTGAAATTTAGATCTACAAACTGATTGGCTTTGAGAAGAATATCTCCACATGTGTGAGCGTTACCAATTAATTCTTTGCTCTTTAGCCTTTGTGGTTATCTACGCTAATACATTATTAAAAAAACTAAGGGTAATTTTGTAAGGCTATATTGGATACAATTGGAACAAAAATATTGTCAAGGACAAAATGGTAAAGTGACATAACTTAGGGTTAGGGTGAGTGATAATGGTGTGAAATCCCATCCCTTCATCCTAATGGTTAGATGGGGATGGGTGGCTAGGTACATTAGCCTATCATGTGCCTTTGGATTAGTGCATCAAGGGTGTTAATTGAATATAAAGTTACACCCATGTTATAAAAGCACATCATGAGATCTCAAACCTTAACGATCTCAACTCTTGAACCATTTTGGAAAATTATTGCTCCCCTCCTTGTTCTAAGGTTTTGTGATAGAAAATTGAAGAGAGAGAGCTTTTAGAGTTCCATTAATGGTGATCTTGATGGTGGTCCTCCTTTTTTATGCTTAAGTCCATCGTGTGCATTTATCAAGGTAAACTCCATTTAATTTTCTTTTCTCACAAGATCATATCCTTGGAATCTATAGTTGCTGGAGTTTTAAATTTAGAAAAGTTTCATGACTTTAGAATCCCCATTTGATCATCTTTTCATCATGCCTTTTTATAGTGTGGTTAACCTTTATGCATGAGAATCCATGATCATGTATAGTATCCTTTAATTACTTTGCTTCAAACCCATCAAATAATTTAGTTTCATGGTGTGACTCCATTTTCAGAACTTTTTCATCACGTTTTTATCTATGGGGGTTCATAATCTTTCCATACAAAACTGTTTAGGTGGTCCGAGGGACCACCGTATGTAGTGTAGCTATAACTCTCTTGTTCTTTATCCGATTCGATTCAAACTTTTTGCATTATGTTTTGGATGATAATGCCAGTGTGTTGAGATCTTAAGAAGTGATTTTAAGGTGTGTAATTTTTTCCTATTTGGATTAGACACTTTTGTGAGATTGAACCACTTTTATGCAATCCGAAGGGACAAAATTAAGTCCTTATAAGGCCCGATTGCATGGCCTCGGCATAAGGGGTTCGAAACATGGCTTCCCTATTTTTATTTGGCATTCTAATTCCTTGCTTAGTTGATTTTATTCTTTAGAATTTTGTTTATATTAGTTTCATGATGTATTTAAGCTTTGAGACATAGTTTATGTAATTTGTGTTATGAAAGTGTAATTCATAAGCTAGTTTTGCTTTATAGGTAATTGCCCTATAAGGGGTTGGTATTTGAGTTTATTTACAGTGATTATACAAGGTTAGAAATGATTGTAATTTTTATGTAGAAATATTGTAACTTATTCACTTAGTTTGGTTTTTAACAAGTGGCTTGTTGAATGTGTCCATTTTGCTTTGTCTTTCGGCTTGGAAATTTGCTCTAGTCTTTGTATCCACAATCAACCTTTGGCTCAATGGATTTTCATATGCATAGAAAACTCTTAAATATTAAGCGTGGGTTTATCTTATGGAAGAAACATAATAAGTTTAATGTGAAGGACAAAATCAAGGAGACTACATTAGCTATTGAGTCCATTGATACCTCCGCCCAAATCAATGGAGTCTTAACAGAGGATATGGTGACTGAAAGAAATATTAAACTTAAGGATCTCAGTAACTTAAATATAATGGAGGAGATTTATTGGAAGTGGAGGTCAAGGTCCAAATGGCTCAAGGAGAGGGACGTAAACATTAAGTATTTTCACGCTGTTGCTAGTACCAAGAGAAGACAAAATGATATTTCAAGTTTATCAATACATGGTGTAAATGAGGATGTTAGCGATGGAGTAGAGATGGCTATCATTAACAATTTCCAAAAGGAATTTTCAACGAAAGTTAGATTTACTCCAAGGTTTGACAGGGTTCCTTTCATGTATCTTTCGGCTGAGGTTTCTTCTAACTTGGAAGCAATGGTGACTGTAGAAGAATTTAAATTAGCCTTTTTCTCACTTCCAAGTGATAAGGCTCTGGGGCCTGATGATTTTCCCCTCTTTTTTTTTCAGAAGTTCTTGGATCTTGTGAAAGTGGAGCTCCTGGAAATGGTTTGGGGTTTTCTCTTAAGAGAAGAGCTTTTTAAGGGGGTCAATTCGACCTTAATTGCACTAATTATAAAAAATCCACTATTGTGGTGCTATCTATATGATATTAAACCTATTAGCCTTCTCACAAGTCTGTATAAGATTACTGCTAAAATTTTGGTTGAGAGGTTAAAAAATGGTCCTCCCCTCAATTATTCTGGTCCTCAATCTACTTTCATCCAAGACCATCTTATCATTGATAGTGTGTTGGGGGCACAATAATATGTTTATTATAGGGTATTGAGTCAGGAGTGTGATCAAATTGGATATGGAGAAAGTCTACAATAAAGTTGAATGAGGCATATTATTGGAAATCATGAAGAGAGATGGTGAGAAATAGAGGAGTTGGATTTTTGGTTGTATGTCATCAGCCCCATTTCACTATTCTTATAAATGGCAACCCTAAAGGTTTTTTCATGGCCTCATGGGGTTTGCACCAAGGTAACCCCTTATCTCCTTTTCTTTTTATGATTTATGCAAAATATTTTAGTTTGATGATTAAAAATGTGGAGAATGCAGGAAACTTGAGGGATTCCAAGTGGGGAGTAATGGGCCAAGTGTGTCTCATCTTCAATATGCTGACGACACATTGATTTTTTTCCAAGCAAATATTAAACAAGTTTTTAACATTGCTCGTTTCTTGAGTTGTTGTGAGGTAGATGTGGGATTTAAAATTAATGTTTAGAAGACTGCTATTTTTTGTGTTAATTGTAGTGAGGGGTTGGTGATGGAGTTAGCTGAGGCTTTGGGCTGTAGAGTGAGCTCTTTCTCCTTTACTTATTTGGGGATTCCAATTTCCTTTGGTAGGATTCCACTTTCGGTTTGGGATACATTATTGAAAAGATTCCAAGTGAAACTGGACTTATGGAAACAAAAATATTTATCTTTGGGGGGCAAAGTGACTCCTTTACATTCTTGCTTGGCCAATCTACCCATCTACCATATGTCAGTTGTGGAGATGCCTTCTTTTATTGTTAAAAAAATAGAGAAATGGATAAGAGACATATTATGGGGCTTGAATATTGAGGCTAAGAAATATCACCTTTTTCAGTGGGATAGGGTGTGCACATCCAAGAGTGAAGGTGGATTAGGTATAAGGAAAGTGGGGTTGGTGAATCAAGCTTTGTTGAGTAAATGGTGGTGGTATCATATTCTCACTCATAAGTATGGTATGGATAGGCATGGCATATGGATTGGGGGTGGCCTTGGAGGTGAAGGTCGGTCTGTTTTTTAGTGGGCTATTTATTTGCGTAAACCATTGCTCCAACGTAATATTAGATGGCTGGTGGGAGATGGCTGCAATATCTACTTTTGGCACCAAAAATAGCTTGGTGATTAGCCTTTGAAATTGCTATTCCCAAATGTTTCCGAGAGAATGGTGCAGCCTAATGCGAAGGTCTCAGAGTTGGTTGAGTTCAAGGATAATGAAGTGGTGTGGAGTGTTCATTTTAGAAATAATAGAGTTAATGCAAACACTTACTCTAGTTACTTAGCTCTCTTGGAGATGCTAAATAAGGTGTTTATTCCTAGGAATGTTGTTGATGAAGTGATTTGGGATATTGAAGCTGATAGTGAGTTCTCAGTCAAGTTTGTCTACCGTTTTCTTTTCAATCCTAGATTTCTTAGAAGCGACCTATCCTCATAAGGTTCAGATTTTCCTTTGGTTGGCTACCCAAAATAAGATTCTAACTGTGGATAATCTGATTAAGGGAATATTTTAACTAATATCTGCTTGATGGGTAAAGAGGATGGTGAATCAAGGGCCATTTGTTTTTACATTGCCCTTTTGTACTTAGAATTTGGTCCTGGTTCTTTGGATGGTTGGGTATATCTGTGACACTGTTACAAAGTGTGTTTAGTGTAGCTGCCAATCTGGCTTTGCCCCATCTCCCTAGATTTGTAAAGAGGTGTAGCAAATTGCCTTAGCCTAGATTTTGTGGGAAGTATGGAAAAGAAAGGAACATAAGAATATTTGAGGGTGTGTATCTGCCTTTTCATAGACTTCTTAATGCCATTAAGCATTTGATTTGGTGCTGGTTGTCCGTATTATCAGAGGGGTTGAGCATCACTGAAGTGGATGTGTCTTTAAATCATAATCTTTATCATATGAACTTCGTTAGGTATAGACAGATATTTGTGGATCTCACCTTCTTTGTGAGGTTTAAAGCTTAATTTTGATGGAAGTTCCCTAAATGGTGTAGCAGGCTTTGGAGGGATTATGAGAGATTCGAATGGAAGAGTTATCTTCTCCTTTGTTGGTCCAATTGGAGAGACTACTGCCAGCCATGCCGAGCTTTTAGCCTTGTTTCAAGGGCTGAAGATTTATTGTGATAAAAATCTTGGCGTTCCCTTAATAGCCGAAGGGGATTCTTTGAATGTTATCAGATGGTATAAGGAGTAGCAAAGGGTACTATGCGTACTACGGTCTATCTGGCTGCAAATTTACTAGTTTGCTAATTTGATCCCTATCTCTTTTGTGTATATCTATTGTGGTTGATTCTTTGGCTAATATGGGGCGACTTGTTCTGATATTATGATTGGTGATGATGTAATGTTACCATTGTAATCTCTTTCCATCAATTAAATTGTTAACATCGGTAAAAAAAAGAAGAAAGAAATTAGATGGAAAATTCAAAAAGGCAGACAAGGAATAATGCATTGACTAAAAGTTAAAATAATATTTTTTAAAATAAAAAATTTAATGAAAGAAATTTTTTAAATAAAATATCTAAAAATAGAGAAATTACAAAAACTTCCAAGTTGGATTTTTGAAAAATTCACCTCTATTTTATATTTCACATTAAAATCCCAAATCCTTTTTTTTGCTTTTTTTATTGGAAAAATTACAAAACAAAAAAAAAAAACCCCTAGACCACACTTTCTAAGCAACTTACCCCCAACCAAGCTTTGTCTCTCACTTTTTTCCTTAAAATAAACTTTCTATGTAAGCACTTCCAAAGGAAAAAGTTCACTTTTTTTAGATGGAAATGCCCATGCCATACACAAAAATCATTTTGTTCAGATTTGATGTTGACTTTTGGACCCCAATGGCATATTGCACAAGCACACAAGTGCCTGACCGCCCTTTGAAACTGCCGGACCACCCTTTGCAACTATCGGACCTCACTTTGCAATTGCCGGACCACCCTTTGCAACTATCGGACTGCCATTTTCAATTACCGAACTGTGCTTTACACAGTCCTAGAGCCCTGCTGCCAGACCACACTTTACACAGTATCGGAGCCCTATTGTCGGACCGCACTTTATACGTTGTCGGAGTGCTACTACCGAATCGCACTTGCACGGTGCCGGAGCCACTTGTTTTGGTGGGATGGAGGAGAGAGACGTGTGGATAAGGTAAAAGTAAAGGAGGGTAGTTTAGTTATTTGTTTATTTTTATTTTGGTTGGGAGGGTTTTGCAAAGAAAGTATATTTTGGGGAAAAAGTGAGAAAAAAAGCTAGGTTGGGGTAAATTGCATAGAAAGTAGAGTTTTTTGGGTTTTTTTTTATAATTTTCCCTTATTTATTTTCCTAAATAACTATTCAGCACTTCAAATTATGGATTGAAATATACTTCAATATTTTTTGAAGTGAAAAAATGTAGTCTAGATGTTCAACTTCCTTGTCTGTCAAGTTCTGGACACATTTTGTGAGTGAAAGTGGGTTTGGAACTTGGACCTCCTGACCTAGATTTCAATTGTATTTTTTTTCTTTTGGGTGAAATAGTGGGGTTCTAAAATTTCAATGTTCGAACTTACCATGCTATTGTTTTTCAACGAATTGCAAGTTCAAATCCACCATTTCTGTTGAAACAGAGCATTCACAAATTGAAGTTACAAACCACTATCGGAAAAATAGGGCAATCTAATTGCTAATTGCCTGATTAGATCGGAATCAGCTATCGGAAGGTTCTAGTTTTGAATTGTTTTGGTGATCAACCGGTATTTTAAAAAAGTTCAAAAAATTTTAAAAAATAAAGAATTTGATTTATAATATTTTTTTAATATTATTTATATTACGATAAAGATTAATTTTTTTAGTTATTTATACCCACTTTTATATTTTCCATTTTTTTCAAAATTTTTAAAAATACTTCTAAACAGCCCACGCGTCCTCCAAAACTACCTCTACCTCTAGGGACAGTGACAGGGATGGACAAAGTGCAAGGTGGCGACAGTAAGCGTAAAGAGGATGCGTCGACAGGGGTTTTTCAATCTTCGGCTACGAGCCTTCCCCTATTTTTTTTTTATTTTTTATAGGTAATTCAGTCAAAAAATAGCCTTTATTTATTTATTTTTTTTCCAGAATTTTTTTATTAGATGAGAAGTTAGTTTTTTTAAGTAAATTGCAAAAAAAATCCCTTCAAAATAGATTCTATAAGCAATTTAAGCACCTAACTTTTTCTAACAACTTCTCTCAAAAACTATGTTTCCTAGCAAATACCCTTAAATACAAAAAATTCTTTTGTTTTTTTACGAAAATACCTCTCTATTACATAACAAATCATTTTCGTTGGAGAGGGCAGTCCAGGGTTTGAAAAAGGTGGTGCGACGATTATTTTGTTGGAATGGGTGTCCGGAGTTTCATTGTGGCGGACCGGGGATTATGTTACTGCAGTAATAGGCAGTCCAACATTTTGAAGTACCGGTCAAACATTTTGAAGGGGCAGTCCAACATTTAGAAGTCACAGTCCAGTATTTTGAAGGGGCAGTCCGACGTTTTGAAGTGGCACGATGTTTTGAAGTGAGCAGTCTGACATTGTACAAGTGTGGTTTGGCATTTTCTTTTATTGAGATCCGAAAATGATTTGTTATATACGAGAAGGGTATTTTGTACAAGTGCAGTCCGACATCTTCTTATATTGAGATCCGAAAATGATTTGTTATGTACGATAAAAATATTTTAATCCAAAAAATAAACTTTTTGTATTAGGGATATTTGCTTGAAAACATGGGCCAAACATGTATTAGGAACTGCAATACTCTTCTCTCATTGGGCTAAGCATGTCCCATACAGTGCTTCAACGTAAGATATAATTTAAAAGAAGGATGATGTTTCCACCAGGCCTACGCTTTGTGGAAATAAAATAAAGTTTTACTGATCTTCATCCAAAAAATACTTTCAGCTACAAAAATCTACATGATAGCTTTAAAATAAATTTCTAACGCCAACAATAAAGTTCAAAATTCAAAAAATGGTATATGTGAACATTTATTTTTAAAACAAAATGAATAGATTAGATAGTTTGTTACAATATATACTATTTTTAGATCTTGAAATTCTAATTTTTTTTTACAACTATAGTGTTCAAAGTCGTGATGATAGATTTAAAAGCTTTTTAATGCTTGACTTGAAATTTCGGTGAGCTACTAAGTGAGGATTTACTTAATTTGACAAGGCTGCAGCTCTATCAAACTATTTTCCATAAAAGCAAACCTTTAAAACTTGTGACTGCAGTTACCAGTATCTCATCTACAGTTGGACAAGCTTTAATAATGTCACATGTTAAGCTCTGAGTATTTAATCTTTGATTGGAAGGTTCATAATATTTGACTTTGGTTTGCTTTCACAAGTCATTTCGAGATGAACTATGGGGCGCTCCCTCCACCCCAAATAGGAGTCGCAAAGGGTCGGGTCCGGTTCGATCGGACTTAGACTCGAATAGTATTCAGGTCTAGGTTTTGGACCCAGATCTGACTCATGGGGTCCGGGTCTACCCATCGGGTTGGGTCCATTGCCACCATATAACTATGAGCTTCGTTTTTGTTTTCTTTTTGCCCTTTTATCTACCATCATATACCTATATTATTTTTTAAAAGTGTTAAAAATAAAAAATCTAATAAAATATGAAAAGTATATTTAAATCATGATTAAAAAAAGCACATCCAAATGAATATGAAAATTAATGAAAAACATGGATTTTAAAGAATCAATTTATGCCTAGAGTTATATTTGAAACTTTTCCAAAAAGATGCGTCAATATTGATGGCCAAAACAATTTCCAATATTTTCTAAAATGATAAAAAAAAAAAATAGTAAAAAAATATATTACAAATAGAATCCCTTATTTTTTGAGATCTTATATAATTTTTTTTGAATTTGTTTTTGTAATACTCATGCAGTTCGCCAAAACCAGAACCAGTCAGTGGCGAGTTCCAATCTAACCGGGTCTAATCGGGGGATTAGAATTTAAACCGCCCGATTTTTCGTTCTTGCCACACATGCTAGTAATTGTATATGGAGCACCAAGAAGTGGTAAGGCCCAAAACCTTGAACAAAAGCTACAAAACCAGCTCTCAAGTGAACTAGGGCTGAGAATGGTCGGAACGAGTTTGGATCCATCGAAATTCGGAGTTGGATCCAAAAAATATATATGGGATCTCGATTCACATCAACAAACTATCAAATTCAGAATATTTATATCCGGATTTGGATCCAAAAAATATACATGGGATTTGAATCGAATCGAGGTCCAAACCCGATGGGATCAAAAAATTTATTTTATATATAAAATAATATAAATTAATACATAACAAAAAAATACCTTATAACATATATGTATATATAAAAAGGGTAACGATCCTATAAGACTCTCTCACACCCATGTGTGTAGAATCCTAAAGGATCACTATTAAATTTGGCACAAATCTCTAGAAAAGTCAAGTCCCACACCCATGTGTTAACTTTTCTAGAGATCTGTGCTAAATTTAATGGTGATCCTTTGGGGTCCTAAACACATGGGTGTGGGAGGGTCTCATAGGATCATTACTCATATAAAAAATATATAATATTTTAATAATTAGGTTGGATCTCGATTCAATCCACCTGCCCTTGGATCCAATCTGAATTACTATTCAGATCCAAAATTTGGATCCGGATCCAACTTATCATATCCAAATCTCGGATACATACACGAATCCAAATAAAATATGGAATTTGGGTTTTAGATCCAAATCGGATAAATTCTCAGCCCTAAAGTAAACCATAAGTTACACTATCGCTCGTACCCGGTCAATTTTAAAGTGGTCACCTTCGAGCAAAACTTCCAACCAAGCTCGTGTTCACCCACACAACAACTAACAACGAACAACGTTTTGATTATTTCAAGATATTCTCAGTTTTCGAGCATTTAGCTCCCTCAATATCAGCTTTCTAGTCCCTATAAATCTGTTATATTATTACTTCCTTCTACTAGGAACGCAAATGATTCTAGTCAAAGTACAACATGATCCCATTTTGAGAATGACCTGAAGTTTTGATGGTAGTATTGTTGAGCTTTGATTCCATTCTCACCAAAAAAATAAGGGCCTAAATCCTCACTGACTTACCATTTTCGATCAATGCTCACTACAATTTTGGAAATACGGTAGGTCGTGGTGGTAGTACCCCCACACCCTAGTCACCACGTTGTGGTTTCCATTCCCACCACTAACACTACTTCACTAACTCTTTCAGAAACCTAGCTCCTGATCTACTTGAAAAAAATGAGTAGAGGTCTGTCTTCCCCATTGAATTATGAAAGAAAGACTAATGTGATCTTGTTGGGGAATATAGATTTTTTTATTTTTCTTCTTTTCACCACTTTTCTTTTCTTTTTCTTTTCTTTTCTTTTGGCAAAGATCGTTAACAAGTAATCTTATTACAATAACTCTTGCTTCAAAGAAAATAAAACTAATGAATCCAATACCTTAAAAACCTTAATGCCACTAAACCAATTTGTTTTAAACAAATAAAATATCAACAATTCTTATACTTGGGAATATAAAAATAATATAATTAAATATGACAAGAAACAAAAAGAGAATGCTGGAGATTACCTCAACCGGGCTTATTACACCCTATTCCGAGTCACCACCATCCGATGGCGCGGGATCAATGATCAACTTTCAATCTCAACTGGAAAAACAAGTTTAGGCCAAACCCTCAAATGGAACAATAGACTCCTTTATCACAAATCTCAAACCCTTAGGTGAATCCTTTTAGTAACCTAATTTGATAGAGATGCTTCTCTTTTCCTACCACAACCCTATAGTCTATAACCCCAATAAGAGATAAGACATCATGAGAGAGCTGAGAGAACCGCCATGAGAGAGATATCAAATACGTAAGAGTAGAGCATGCCCCTTTGGGTCTCTGGAGAGAGAGAGAGAGAAATTTCTTAAGAGAGAGATATTTTATGTGGGGCGTGCTACCGTTGTGGATGTGAGAGATAGAGATGGGAATTAGGTGTAGAAGATACAATGTTAGATATTTTGATATGGATCAATTCCCTTTTTATAATGCCTGAACAAGACTAAGAGTTTCTCAAGGTTTTCTTTGGTTTGCTATTTCTTATGAGATTGAATATGAATCATTGATATTGGGTGATTTGTGGGGTAAGAGACTTGAGCCCTCCATTCCATAAATAAACCATCAACATTATGGAAGGTGCTAGAACATTTATCTCCCTTATTCCTTTGACCATTATCCCATCAAAATAAATCAACTAAAATAATACTAATAATAATGTTGTGCTTTATACAAAAATATGCACAAGCGTTATCATGATTTCTAGAAGATTCATTCAAATCTTTCTCAAGATAAATCACCTTTCCAAATCTCATAATGACCTGGCCTCCAAACCAAAGTTATTACTCTTATCAATTTCAACCCCTATAGAATTGGAAAGACTCATAAAAGTGGGTTGTGCCACCTAAAAGGTGGCAACGTGAGCCTACCAAATTAAGGCATGGTGGGTCGTTGGTGGGCCCATGTGCACAATGGGCCCCTAATATTTTTTTTTAATTTAAATGTTTTATAAAAATTAATAAAATACTTTAGAATTAATTTTAATATTTAAATCAATATAAAATCAATATCTTTGTTTTTATAAATTAAAATTTGATAAATAAAATATCCAGAAATCTAAAAAAAAATCAAATAATAATTCTAAAAATAATATATCATTAAAACAAACATAATTAAATTCATTAGATGGGAAAATGATCCATATGATCTAGGAATTAAATAAATAAATATTGGAGCACTCTCACCTTCAACTAGCTACTACAATCCACACTTGCTTTATCAAACTGACTTAGTGTTTTCCATGACCCACAGTTTATGCAGGGGCTCATTAGTGGGTCACCAAAGTCCGGCTAATGAGCCAAGGGATCGTAATCCAGTTTGTGGATTTCAAGTTCATCTTTAGAAATGTACCAAGGACACCTAGACTTGATGCGACCATAGCTCTTAAGGCGCATAGGAGTATCTCCCACACATGCATAACCTTCACCCTAAAAGGTGGTTCGCTTTCCTGAAACGACTATTATTATACATATCGTGTGATAGTAAATAGATGTGGCTTTGGCCCCTCGACTCTGAAGGTCACCATCACACACAAAGGTCACACAATTATTCGGCTCACTCATCCCGGCATACTCCGACCTCATCAAGGAATGACCTATTAGAATCCTTATCGGATAGTTTTCTATACCCAAGTAACATAGGTTTTTCCCAACCGACTAGCTTAGTTCGTCAAGCTCAGTCCAGTATCAACAAACAAGGGACCACACTCCCACTGAGTTCATGTTCCATTATATCAAAATGTTAATAACAAGCACTCATAAGGACTTTATTACAGGCATTGGGTCGTGGCGGTAGCACCCCCATAGTCACCACATTATGGTTTTCATTCCTACCACTAACACCACCTCACTAACACCTTTAAAAACCTAACTTCTTAATCTACTTAAAAAAATGTGTGGAGGCCTGTCTTCCCTACTAAATTATCCAAAAAAAAAAACCAAAAAATTTGCTTACCAAAAAAAAACGACAGGATCCTATTTCTACTTCCCCAAATCCAAGGATTCCCCAAATATGCTCTCATGCTAGAATAGATTCTCACTTGTATTTTATGTTGGGCAAGCTTTTTATGCTTCCCCTGCAGCATAAAACTTAGATACTTTCCTTTATCCAACCATCCACTCTGAATGGAGGGCTAAGATTGCCCCAATCACAATGTCACATCTCTACATTATTTTATTTTTTAATATTTTTCTATAAACCATTTTGACACCAAATTTTAGATGTCCATTCTTCTATTAAACTCGCACTAGCAAAAATATAAAAAAATATTTCAGTAAAATAAAATGACCAAAATACTCCTGAAAGTTTCAAGGGGTATTTTAGTCATTATATTTTATCAAAAATTATTTTTAATATTTTTTATAGGCGCGCCCCAATGAGAAGATGGTACGTACCAAATTTCACATTCATACAATTTATATAAAAAAAACTAAAAATAAAATACTTTGAGACGTCGGATCTAAGATCAAATGGTGAGTGACTCTCTTGATCAAAATTGTACGGCTGGATGGTAGGGAGGGATAGAACTTCTATGCTGTAAGGGAAGTATAGAAACCTTACCCTTTTATGTTTTAGATGGAAAGGTTGCTGCCATTAATTATCTTATTAATGCTTGAAAGTGAAATAGTTATATGCAAAAAAGACACAAAAAACATACGAGAATTCATGAAGATGTGTCATTCGAGGACAGTGCGGTTATTCGTATAAAAGATGTCAAGGACTACAGTTCTCAGTAAACTTCATGAATATATCCTATAAATAATTCCTCAGAAGTTCAAATCTGGTGAAGTGGGAGCACATTCAACAGAAGGCGCTCTTTGTCAGGCTCGGATTTGCTTTGACAGAGTTACTTGTCAAACTCTTGATTGTATTACATCATCCAGAAATAGAAACAACAAAGTATCACGACCAGCAACAAAATACCAGCTCGCATCCTCCTACACATGGACATGATTCTATATAAGGAACAGTTACCATGATGCATACTTCAAGCTGTGAAGAATACAGTTTGATATGCAAGCAAACATGCACATGTAACAGGTAACATGCACGCAACACACGTTTACCAACTACATGACCAGATGATAGATAGAGAGAGAGAGAGTTGAGGCAAAAATGGATCATATTGTAAATGTGGGGGAAGTTCTCTGTAATAAAACAACAAGTTTAATTCCTTTTAAAGATCAGAACGAGCAGGTCTACATTTGATACATTTTTCTAGTTCAAGGGCCGTTGACTGTTGACACTCAGTTTACAGAAGGATGCATTTGTGAAGAACTGAATTAAAACACTAATAAGAAAAATATGCATTCCAATTTGAAGCATTTGTTTACCTGGACATCTGATATTGAATATATATTTGATATATAAGAAGCATAGTTTAGCGGCCCTAGAAAAACAATATTTAGTACCGTTCAGGATGATAGGTCTGTAAATTGTGGGCCTGTAAACTGTGGATCTGTACAATCTCAAGAGCATCCTCATGAGCATCCATTGAATTGAAGAACTCTGCTAGCTTCTCTTGGATTGTATCCTTGGTATCCTCTGGTTTGTAAACAAGATGAAAAGCCAGTTTCTTAATATGAATGGATGGGGTTAATGTTGGAAGATTATTTACGATTTTAACTTCCATCCCCATCTTCCAAGATAAGGACAAGAGCATCATCTTCTTGAAAATGGTATAAATAAACTTGATCCTGGTTAGCCTTTGGGCTGCCCAACTTAAGTGTAGGACTCATCCATTGCATGCCATTCCTCATGACCGTGAATTGAACATGTGGAATGTCAAGGCCATCATCAATTGGCATCTCACTATCAACAGATAAAACCAAGCACAATATCACTCCTCTAATCTTCAGGCCCTCATCCGAGACTCTCGGTATCACGCATGATAGTGTCTGAAACATGAACCAGCTTGGAACTTTGCTTCCAGAAACACGAAAACGACGTAATTGTATAAATGTTTCCTGTACATTATATAAAAATATCATATCAAAAGAATCAAAATTCAGCCATCAAATAAATAAATACAAGATACAAGAAGACCACGAGTTTGTTCTTTTCAAGGAAGAATTACCTTTCCTAGACCTGGACTATTTGAAACATGAGAACCACACCCGTTTAAGTACAAGTCTTCCAAGGATATCAACCCATTGCGACCTTGTATGTCGATTAGCCTCTCACAGTTTGTGAGATACAATTCTCGTAGTTTAGAAAGGCAAGAGAGGTCAGGCAACTTTTCCATATTTGTGCAGTTCACAGCATCTAGGAAAGCCAAACTGGTGGTGAGCTCAGGGATCTCCAACAACTGCGTACAATGAGATAAGGATAGTTTTTTAAGCTGAGAAAGGCCACTCATACTTTTGGGCAGGTTTTGGAATTTGTTGTAGCTTAGGTTCAAGGTTGTCAATGACGATAAGTTTTCAAAATCGTCTGGAATCACCCCTTGGAGATTACAATGATCTGCATCCAATTCCTCCAGGGAACAAAGACTGGAGAAACTAGATGGAAGCCTTGTCAACTCACAATTGTATTGAATTTTGAGAGTCCTTAAACACGTAAGGCTGCCAAAGCTTACAGGGAGCTCTCTGAGGTGTCGACAGTGTGCCATTTCCAAAACAACCAGGTTAGAAAGTAGTCCAACGTCGTCAGGTAATTCTACTATAGGAGTTTCCTCCACATTTAGATGTTGCAGAGACTTCAAGTTTCCCATTGAAGCTGGCAATTTACTGAGTTCGCTGCACTTGCTCATGGACAGCTTCTTAAGGTTCACCAAAAATCTTATTGAAGTAGGTAGTACCGTTATGATAGTGTTATCAAGGAGAAGGGTAGAAAGGTTGCTCAAATTTCCAATTGAATCAAGTAACCTCTTGAAAAAAACGCTACCCCTTATATCTATCTCCTCAAGCCCACTAAGATCTACAACAGAATCAGGCAACTCCATCATGTTTGTCCTATCCAAACGGAGCTCAGCAAGAAACTTTAGTCCCCCAACTGACTCGGGTATTCTACCAAGTGATTGACAACCAGTAACCCATAAACGCTTCAAATTTGAAAGTTTCCCTATTGAAGGTAGCTCAGTAAGGGATATACTTTCCAATAAGAGATCTGACTTGGGCAAGGCATTAAGTGATTGGCATGATGCACTCAGGATTTTGAGCTTTTTTAGCGAACCTATGGTGTAGGGTAGTTCGCTCACTGCAGTCCCATCTAACAAAGCTCTTGTAGTGATTCCAATTCACCAATTGAGATAGGCAATACTCTTAAGGGACATACAAGAAAGTAGAGATAGTTTTCGAAGTCTTTTTAATGATCCAATAGATTCTGGTAGTTGTTCTATGGTAGTTCCATCAAGGATAAGCTCTGATAATGATTTTAAGGAACCCAACTGTTCTGGTAACTTGCTAAGTCTACGACAATAAGACAGAAGAAGCTTTTCAAGAGAATGCAGCCCTGAAATACTGCTTGGCAGTTCCTTGAGGAGGAAACAGTACTTCAAGTTCAGATCAATTAATTTCCCAAGAACGTGAATTGAACCTCAGCCAGCATCACACATCCTTCACGATTCAACTTCTCCAAGCTTGCATATGGAGAAAAGTTGGGAGTTCTGATTAAGTTAGAGCAGCCATTCAGATGAAGAACCTTCAACTTTTGAACCTCACGTTGAGAAGAAGTTGTCTACAAAAAGAAAAAGAAGTGACAAACGAAAAGGTTAAATAAAGTATCTGACCTTATTTTGAGATGGGTCCTGCAATACCCGCATGCTTTTGCTGTGTGACAAATCAAGGACAACAAGCTTTTTATGATTAAAATCATCTGGGAGGTACCCTAATGGGCACCCTTGCCATTGTAGCCATACTATTTCTGATGGAAGAACTTTGAAACAACCTTCAAGAAATGCATGATTAACACTAAGTAGTTTCAGATTGGTCATGGGTTTAAATGCTTCGGTTTCCCACTGCCTCTCCTCTAATGGAATTTCATTGAGAATTAGGCCTCGAACCTTTCTAGTCCCCTATTACAATAGTGAACATATATGTTAGTCATTATAAGATGCTAAATCAGGCTGTACATGAGATAACCCCATTCCTATTCTAACAATCATTTAAAGTATAATCCATATGAATAAAATAATCATAATATGTCTAGCAAGCCCTCACCTTACAATTCTTTAACACATTGAAGACAACATCATGACACCACAACCTACTACACCTGCCAGGGTCATCAAGGTTTTCTAATTGAACAATATGTTTCCCCATGTCACGAAGTTGGTCGTGCATCAGCAACCTATTCTCATCATCAATCTTGGTAAGTGTTTGCAAGAGTTTTCTAATTGAATTGGGAAAACCACAAGCTTTCCATATATCAGTGGCATAATCTTTGTCTATTCCTATGAAGAAGCATGCAATATCAAGAAATATTTGCTGCTCTTCTTTAATTAGGCCATCATAGCTTATCTTCAACTTCTCTACGACGTCATCGTCAGGAATATTTTTCAAATGTCTCACTGTATCTTCCCATTCCTCCAAGGTTGTCATAACAGAAAAGTGTGATCCCAATACTTCAAGGGCCAGGGGTAGCCCTCCTGTAGTAGATACCACATTCTCTGAGAGCTTCATGTATCCTTCAATAGGTTGATCCGTCTCAAATGCATGCCTGCTAAAGAGTTGAAACGATTGGCTAGGATCTAATTCTTTGAGCTTGTAGATATGATGCTTATCAACTTTATGCACATTCAGTACATGCTCTTCCCTGATAGTGATGATAACCTTACTTCCATCATGAAACCAGTCTCGTTTACCTGCCAATTTCTCGAGCTGCCTTTCATGATCAACATCATCCAATACAAGGACTTTCTTAGACGTGATTCTACTCCTGATAATGATGATACCTCTATCAACATCATTTATATTTGAGTCTTTTTCATGAAACAAATCATGCAGGAGTTGCTTCTGCAATTTGACGAGTCCAAGAACTGATCGTGAAGCATCTCTGATATCTGATAGGAAACAAGAGCCCTCAAAAGTGGTATATATTTTGTTGTAGACTGCCTTGTCAAGAGTAGTCTTACCAAGCCCCCCCATCCCATGCATCCCAAGCACCCTAACATCATCAGCATTGACATCTAGGAGTCTCATCACATCGTCAACCCGAGAATCAAGCCCAATAATATGATCAGCAACATGCATTGGTGCATAATTCAACTTGGCTTGAACATTTTCAACAACTTCACTGATCAGATCTGCCTCATTCCTGTAGATCATTATGAGAAAGAAGGAAACATAATGATGTGTTTGTAATAATAAAATTAAGGGAGCGTATATAATGTTTTAGAGATCCCAATGATATTATCGAACATGATTTCCATGCTATTATAATGTCAGCACGCAAAAATATATATCTAGGACATCAAGTGTAAAGTGGTGCATTAGGCATCATTTCATTCATACAATGTTATAGTCAAGACAAAATATTAGATTGGCTCACAGCTTAGTTAGTCCATTCACTTCTTTCCACGGGTCAAACATAAATAGATGCTATTTTAGCCCGCAGAAAAACCATATTGGACAAAAACTTTGCATTTTTCCTGCAAACTATGGCCCCACAAAGGTTACACCAACGACCTATTTGTAGGAAACGACCTTTCCTCAATTGTACATGAAATCTTTTCATTGCTCCTTTTGACCCACAACAGTTCTCAACAATAAAGGTAAACATGAAAGACCAAGCGATGAAAGAATATGAAAAACTTCAAGAAAATAGGTAGAATTTGGGGCTTTTCCTGAGAAAAAAGTGATAGTTTTTCAATAGTGGTGTGATTTTTCAATGATCTGCAAAGGATCTTATGTAAAAAACAATGTCAGTATGCCTAAATGAACCAACTATCATTAAAAATAATTACGCCTATCTAATAGTGCTTTCTTGATAAACAAAGAGAAAGATTGCTTCTCAAATACTGCATCTTCCTCTCAAACAAGATATTTTTGTTCTTATAAAAGAAATTCGGTTTCTAATAGGTTTATAGCCAGATTTTGTTAAAGAAATAGCATGCAGAGAAATTAACATACGTTCTACATAAAAGTTTTACCAGGTCAGCAAAATGCTACACCTAGATTAAACTTCAATTACTCAATATTCAGAATCAGTCATAGGAAGACCCTAAGGGTCCATTGGGATGACAATTGATTTCATTTAGAATAGACTATCCCATCTGAAATTAATATATTCTGGATAACATTATTATGATACCGGTTTGGTAAATATGTCGTAGTATATATAATATTATCTATTTATTGTAAACATATAATAGTATTTAATTATTTAACTTTCTTTTTTTGGCAATTTTTAGCTAAAAACATGTGGTTTTAAGCAAGTTACTTATGAGTAAAGTAAATACAGCTTTTCATAAACCCAGGTATCTCCAATCATAGGTTTTGCTTCCTATTGAACTAAATCTTGCCAGCAAGAGCCAACTCATATTGAAATGGTACAAACATCTAGAATCTGGTTTACTTTCTCGTCTTCTTTGACGCCCATTCTTCGAGTGACCATGATGTAGCTCTCCTTGATGAGCATACAATTCAGAAACAATGAAGATTTTGAGGTACATCAATATCCCCCAGTAGCTCAATATGATAGATATTATCATTAATTTTCTGATGGACATGGAAATGGTCCGTGCTTCTTATATTTCAACAGACTATAGACACCGATAGGAAAATTTTTTTTCAAAAATAAACAATCACTAAATCTCCTTTATTATAAAGCCTTGGTACTATCGATGCTCATTGGCTACACTTTAGTACTTCCTGATGGTCTCTTGAATTTTTCCTCGAACTTTATCATGAAACTGTTTTAGACGCTAAGCCAACTCACTATTCATCACTAACTTTCTTCAAATTGGTCGGTAACCAAATCCAATGAGTTAATGGACAACTTACCATACATGATATTGAAGTGAATTTTCCATGGACAGTTTCGTTTAACTATTATAAGCAAATTCAGCTTGTGGCAAAATAATGTTCCACGGTCTAGGTTTCTGCCCAGCAAGAGTCCGAAGGAGATTTCACAAGCTTTGGTTATCTACATAAGTTCACCCATCACTTTGGGGATGATAGGCACCTCTGTATTGTAATTTTATCCCCAATTTGGCCCACAATGTCCACCAGACCAAGGAACTTGCTGTCCAGCTCTTAAGTTATTGTCTCCTGGATACCATGTAGCTTCACAACCTCCTTGAAGCGCATGTAATAAAGTGGCGAATAAAAACCAATGGTTGCAACTTCTATGTCCTCAGAAGCCCATATATGAAGTCAATCGGAACATCAATTCATGGTGCCATTAGAAAATGGAGCGTAGAGCCCATTATTCAGGAACCACCCTTAGACATTTGGTAAGTTCTACACCAATCGATATAGTTGATGATGTCCTCAAAAGCCCATTTATGAAGTCAATCGGAACATCAATTCATGGTGCCATTAGAAAATGGAGCGTAGAGCCCATTATTCAGGAACCACCCTTAGACATTTGCTAAGTTCTACACCAATCGATATAGTTGATGATGTAGTGCCTATTGTCTGGGCCAAGTGCAGTGTTCATCCACAAATGCCAAGTTCTTTTTTTCTTTGAAGATATAATGTTTCTATTGAGTGAGAGAAAAATTTACAGGTCACCAAAAAATAGGCTACCCACATACCGGAAACTCTACACAAAATAGGCTTCCCACAGATTGGGAGCTCTATACAACAAATATGCTTCCCACATACTGGGAGATTTATATAAAAAACCACCAAGATGATGGGCTGTTCACAACTAGACCAAAAGAAAAGGCACTCCTACAGTGCCACAAAAAGACGTAGCTCAGGTGGTGCAGCTAACGGCTCCTTTAGCTAGAGCATCGGCCTCTAAGTTGCCCACACCAAATATGCCTCCATGAAAACGACCATATGCCTGCAGATGTGAAATATTTCATAAAAAATTTGAGCAAGCGTTCAGGGGCAGGGTGAGGAACCTTAGGCCCATGAAAAACTATTCTTGGAATCACCTTCAATGATCATAAATGGGCTGTAAGAGGGATTGAAACATTTGACGCCTTCGAGAAGGGCAAGGGCCTCAGCCGATTAGGAATTAGCATGTCCAATGTGTTTGGAGAAAGAGATGAGGGTCTGACCCTCGTGGTTTCTGATTAGACCACCAATTCCTATGGGGCCAAGGTTAACAAGTGAACAACCCCCGATGTTCGATTTTGATTAGTCAGGTTCAGGGTCTCCACAAGGAGGCATGGGGAATGCAGGGTTGCCATGAGTAAAGCAATGTTTGTGAGTTTTGATAGAATGCAGTGTGACGACCCAAATGTTTTTGAAAAATGAAAATAATAATATTAATAAAATAAAAATAAGGCAAAATACTTACATAAAGAAATGATTTTGAGTGAGGATTCATTGGGTTGTTAATGCACCATGGGACCACTCTTTTACAGTACCTTTCATTTCCACGATTTTTTTAGAGATATATTTAATTAAGATAATAGGGTATAATGTGGCATTATGAGATAATAATATGAGGTGATGTGGCATTATAAGATAATAATATGAGGTGATGTGTCATGAGGGGCACATAACAGTGAGAAATTAACAAAAAAAGGAAGGACAACTATCTTGACATGTGTCAAGTGGAAGGGTGTCCTCCCTCACTTTAAATACCCTCCCCCTCATGAGCTAATCACAAGCTCATCAAATTTTCCATCTCTCTCTCTACATAAGTTCTCTTTCTCTCTCTCATTACAATTATTTTTCTCTCTCCCTCATAATATTCTCATAAAGTATTATTCTCTCATAATGATATTGTTATTTTAATAGTATTCTCATAATAATAATCTCATGATTCTCATAATGATGATATTCTTATAAAAATAGTATTTTCTTTCACTCATAATATTCTCATTATTTTCTCATAATGATATTATGATAATGATGATATTCCTATAAAAATAGTACATGAAATATATGGTGATGGGATAAACGGACCTATATGATACTATATAGTCTATAATGTCACACCACATTGATGTAAATTTGGATATTATATCACTTATATAATGAGGACTGGTTACTATAATAGTCCTCATCGATTTATATTATAGTATTCACATATCTCACCTATATCTCAGATGTTACAAATATTTGTTATTATGGCATATATTATATCATGTCACTTATCCAGTATATTATATCCCCATAAAAAATTCACTTTATAGTAAGAGAAATATGATGTGTAATATCACATTGCTACACATTATAATCCAAATCTGGACTATACCATACAATTTTAATTTGTCTTTTATGTTATCATACCATATTTTTTTTAATGACTATTATATCCATAATTATAATCTTCACATAAAAATATTATTATTCTCATGATGATTTTCATAAAAACAGTATTATTCTAATAATAATGTTCACATGAAAACAATTATATCTCTCTCCTCATAACGGTTCTTCACTCTCTCATGGCATATAATATTTCTTTCTCTCTTATATGAACATATTTTTATGCTCCTCTCCCCATAGAAACTCATTTGGTTTCTCTTCTCAAGCCTTTAGCAAAACACCCTTGATTTCGGTTCTACTCCGGCAACAATAGTAACATATCCATCTCGGAGTGACATATAGGTAAGTGACTTCATTTTTCTGCAAAATTATTATTTGAAAAACTGATATTTCTGCATTTAATTGTAATATCTCCGATACCGTAAGTTTTACATATTTCTGTATTTAATTATAATATGTCCAACATAAATTTTAGATGTTGTAAGTGTTATGTGCAAGTGGCCTTACTTTTCCTAGAAAACAGTTGTTTAAAAAATTTGGGCTTTGGTGCTATAAGTTTTACATGTTCTGTAACATGATTATTTGAAAATTTATATCTTCATAATAAATTTGTGATATTTCCCTCTATTGTTAAGAATTTTAGATGGTTGAAAATTTGGCTCTGGATTTCCATAAGAATTCTTCTAAGAATAGACTGCTTATCTTATTATATCCCAAAAATGTCTCTCAGAACTGCTAACTTTCTAAAACCATAACCCAAAATATTTGACTAATTATTTATGAAAATGTTAGTGAAAAGTGATTGCTATAAATTGCTTCATGTAAATTCATGTTAATGATTTCAAAGATATTTTGAATATACGATATTCTTGTTTCTTGATATTTAGTGATGTTTGTTACATTGATTGGCATGCTATTGAC